AATCTTATTTATATATTAATTTTAATTTCATTTATATCTATATATTGATTTTAACTGGTTAGTAAGTTTTTTTTAGTTTTATATATTGATATAAATTTTGTATATTAATTCTAATATGACATATTTGATTTTACTTGAAAATAGTAAAAGTCAATATGTAAGGCGTACAAAACAAAAATAATTGAAACTTGTATGATCAATCATTTAATAAATATATTATTTTCTAAATAATATATATATATATATATATATATACATGTAAAGAATAGATCAAGTGATGGAGAGAGTGAAAAAAGTTTACCTGAAAAATGATTTTGTTGAATAATAATGATTTGTAAAATAAAGAATACTTCAAATGATAGAGAAGAAGAAAAAGAGATTTATTGATGGACAAATCATATAGGAGGACATGGAAGGGTTTGGAGGTTTCACTTCCAAGAATAAAGATGAAAAGGTTGTAGGTTAAACTTTTTAAAATTACCAAAAGAACCTTATCCTAATGAATTTCATGTTTTAAATATAGGGACGAGAAAGTCTTTTATATATATATCAAATATTTTAAAAAATCAAAAATCTAAGAAAAAAGAATGAGAGGTTTCTAATGTTTAGAGGATAACACCTTATTATGTTTGGTTTCTTCTTTAAGGAGTAAAAATATTAGAAAATAATTTTTAAGCCCAATGCTAAGGAAGGAAAAAATCGCAATAGACCGATCAACATCGATGTCTTAAAAACCATATGAAAGATTACCGATCTTAAAAAATCATAAACCATCTTTCTTGATACACTTTTCTAGCATCAATGCAAAAATATTCTAGCATAATGTATCAAGTTCATGGATAAACAAAAAAAAATACTTATTTTTATGTTCTACATATGCTTAAAAAATGTTACCTTATTTCATCAATGATTCATATGTCACTTTATCCACACACAAAAAGGATTCATATGCTTGCATAATTCCAATTTTGGTGTGAATGTCTCCAATTAAAAGACCAAATACTATACTTACATCAACAAAAACCCATATTATATATGTCTTCTTGAATGACACATCAAATCAACAAAAATGCAAATCATCTCCACAAAAACTAAATAGATGAAGAATTGAGAAATTAAGAGAGATTGTTATGCTTAAACAATGTTACCTTATTTTATCAAGGATTCATATGTCACTTTATCCACACACAAAATATTCATATGCCTACATAATTTCAGCTTTAGTGTGAATGTTTCCGATTAAAAGACGAAATACTATACTTACATAAGCAAAAACCCATACCGATTTGTCTTATTGAATGACGCCTCAAATCAACAAAAATATAAATCGCCTCCACAAAATTATAACTGAATAGAGAGGAAAAATTGAGAGATTAATAGATAGATTATCATAGAGGTATACCATGAAGAGAAGATGAAAAATTATAACCGAAAAGAAAAAATTAATGAGAGTTAAAGATCAATTATTAGAGGGAACATGAATAGGTTGAAGTAATTAATGAATATCAAAAATCAAAAATAAATATTGAGGTGAGAAAAGCTTGAGAAAAAGAGATAAAGGATAAAACATTTTCTAGCTTTGAGAAGAGGCCACGTCATTATACGTGGTTTCTTCTTTA